AGAATTATAGTCTATAAAGCACTCACTCAGAAAATAAATTAATACAAATCCTAGGACAAGTAATAAAGCCATAGCTGGAACATAAAGACATTTCTTTCATCCAGAACACAGTTCTGTCTGCCAGTTAACTGTATGTGAAATCTAAAAGTAGAGTTTAGTCTAAACCCAGCAATGTGTTAAAAGGGACTATATACAGCCAGCATACGAGAGATGTAGCCTTAGCTGGTGGTAAAATGTGACAGTCTGTAGCAAGGCAAATAGCATGTAATCAGAGCAAGATGGCATAAAAAAAGGGGAATTCAGACCAGATGTGGTTGGGTTTATGCCAGCGAAAACCCAAAGCATTCTGGCTAGTCATTTAGGACTTAGGTCTAATGTAGCTAATCCTAGCTAGATGGGAGGGGTGCTCATTGCCTTTATTTGTTGATTTATTTACTTGTTTATTTATGATGGTATGCTGAGAGGTGGGGCATGAAGGGAACTTCATACAGAAAGGATCTCTCATGCTGCTTGGGATCCCTAATCCTCTTGTGTGCATGGGAGGTGGGATGCTTCACCCTTCTCCCAGGTATCAAACTAACAGGCAGTGGACAAAAAGGGGGGCAGCAACCCAGTATGACAGATGGAGGCGACCTGTGCAGGGAACAGAGAACACGAAGCCTATCCACAAAAATCTCACTACAAGCAGGGCAGCTACTGACTCACGGCAGCAGTACATCAACTGCCTTTGCTGCTCCTTATCCATTTCCACTGGGTGGGCTTGGTTTCCAGACTCCATTAATCATTCTGTTTTGCAAACCTTTAACCTTCACGTACTAAAACACAAACACACAAGAAATGTGCCGGAGTTGGGAATGACAGATTTGTGTGCCTTGAGGAAGCACCTAATTTAGATGTCTTTCAAGAGACAGCTTGTGATTTATACAATTCCACGTATTCTCCAGAAGAGCTGCAATCTAGCCCTTCAAGGCAGCGGCCTGGGAGGCAGGAGATGTGGGCAGCTTTTCCTTCTCTCTCGCGGATTGGCCGAGTCAGCCTGAAAAGGTCACTCGTTCTTGCAATGCCTTGGTTTGCTGTTGGCACTGCTGTGATATCACTGTGAGCTGCTGCACAGTTCATAACTACAAAAGGGGCATTATGAAGTCACTCAGCTCAGAGGCTGGAGCTTGGACACTGCTGTAGCCCGTATGACAGCAGTGCTCTTGTGCTGGGTACCATCCAGCTACAATGCGCCTACCCTCTAATCAAAGTACCATCTAATCAAAGCACAGCCTGGTAGGGCCCACATCAGATGCCTTGGCATTGCTCGGAACAGAGCCCGAGCATATGAATGACTCAGTGTGGTGATGTCATCCCTACATTAGTGGGATCACACAGAGAAGGAATCCTGCACTAGTTCAGTGCCACATTAGCACGCTCAGCATGGGTCATTAGCCATCTTTCTCCACTGTTCACTACTTGCCCCTTCTCAGCCCGAATGTTTGTTCTATCAGAAGGCACAAAAGGGACATGAAACCTGAAGTTTCTCAGTCTGAACTTCTTAAGACTAGTACTTAACTTCAGCTGTGCTCACACATGCTCTGTAAAGAGCTGCAGGCTTTTCAGTCTTTATTGTTCTAAACAAAATCTTTCTGGCGGTGGTGTGCTTCATTAAACATTGGGAATCATGAGCTGTTGGAGAAGAAACTGCGAGCAAGTCACAAATCATCTTTAGGTCTTAGTTTTCCATCAGTGAACTTGGTATGTATTTGGACGAGGGCTGTAGGGCTTAGTTTTGTTAGGCAATGGAGAGATGATTTTACAGTATCACCTTTGCTTTGCAAGTTATGCTTATCAGCTGAGCTGTAGCAAGCTCCTAAGCTGGTTAAAGTGCTTTGTGTTTGCAACCTTGCTGGCACCACCATATTTTTCAGAGTGGAGAGAACAGGCAGGTATTTCAGTTATATATTACAATTTTATATTGTGTCTTGCAAGCATTTTATTAAGCATTTGGTTTTGGGAAGGGTGGGGTGATAAGGTTATGAGACGAGGCGACTCAGTGAAGCTGAAAGCCAAGGGTCCCCACGTGGCTGCATAGCCTCCATCTGTTAAGCAGAGGCATGCAGTGAGGCCTGAAGTGCAGCTTCTGAAGTGGAAACTGGGAAGGGAACGTGCTGCAGGGCTGGGCGCAGGCTGCAGCTAGCAAAGGTTTCTAAAAGGCTTGGCAGTGTTACAGTAATCACTTGGACTTTATTTCAGAAACTTGGTGCTTGAGGGACTGGCACCCCCCCTATCCCCTATTCCCAGAAGTCTGTCTCCCGACACTGTCGTCAATCTCAGAGTTCATTTCCTGGTTAAACAAACAGCAATTAAATAACACAAGACAGGCAACGCCTAGAGACACCACTGTCTCAAACTTGCCCTGCACAGGCCATGTGACACTGGGGTCCCTGTGTTCTAGCTCTTGGCTAAGACATGTCATCCACAGGAGGGATCGCAGAGTATGACAATGTGTGTGTGCCAGGGGAAAGGGGGCTTGGCTTGCTGGGGAAATGCTCTCTGCTTCCTGGAACTGCTTGTCCAGAGAGGACGAGTTGGGCAGCCAGCATTGGGCCAGGTCACCCCAAAAGAAACACCCCCCCTTTCATTTTGCTCTCATCTGCTTTGCCTGTGTAGAGGAAATGGGAGAGAATAGAAAACCTGGTGCCTCTAGTGTGTTCCTGCAGCAGCTGGGACAACCAGGAGAGGCACATCATTGTCATCTTCAAGAGGTGTTCAGAAAGTGGAACCGGGGGGAAAGGGGCAATCAAGTATTTGCTCCCAGAAAGAAAATGAAACTAAGGAAAACATGTAAGATCTTCCTAGTGCATTCTATTGAACTGTAGTGTTGTTCTCCAAAAGTAAGGGACTCAAAGCATGCTCTTTGGCCCCCATCACCTAAAAGACACAAAGCACTAGGGAACATACCCTCAGACTCCTGGTGCTAAAGGAGAGACGGATTGGACATCTGAGACTGATTAATAGTTCACTCTCTGCATTTTGTTTGACCCTTGCAATCTCCAGTTGCCTCCCAGTAAAAGTACACAGAAATAGACTAAAGATGAAAGAAAAGTCACTGTGACTCTGCTCATTTTCTGTGCATGAAGCCTCACTGATTTAGCTCATCATCATTGCGGTTCAAGGACTTTTTCACTTGTATTCACTATTGATTGGATTGTAATCCTTCTTGGGGGTCCATCGCCCCCAGCATGAAAACTCACAAAGCAGCAAGGGATCTTTAGCCTCCTCACAGAAAGAGAGACCCTTCCTTTGCTCCTGTGTGCAGTCAGTACTGACATCTATTTGCAATAGGCTTTGACTGGTCCTTGATTCCTCCGAAATAAGCAGTGGTCAATCCACCTGTTGGTGCTTGAATTCCCACTTTTGCATGAATAACTAAAGTTAATAAAACTGGAAAAATCTTAAAAATGTAACTTCTATCACATATTCCTCTTAATTTACGGATGTTGGGCAATGAAATTGCTTTGATTATGTCTCAGCTGACCTTGCTACTGGGTCTTTTACACTCCAAGTATTCACATGACTGTATTTCAGCTTCCAGCACTTCAGGAAATGTTTCAGTCTTTCCTACATTTTTTGCAGCTTATTGCAGGCAGAATGAACCATAAACTTTGAAAGGGGAAAAAAAATCCTGAAATCCAGAAGCTGATCCCTCTGTAGACGTGAAAGGTATCCACCAGGATGGTGGAATGGGACTTTGAGCAACTCGAATACTTCTATTGTGTGCCAGAACACCTGCATCCCCAGGGAATGCTAATGAGGAGAAGGCAGGACAGAGAGCAAAAAGTCTATAATGCATTTAGCTTGAACTGGCTTAGATATTTTCTTATTGCTCAGATCTGCTATGTAAATTTGGGGTTGGGGTCCTATCAATACTTTTTATGAGGGGTTCCAATCAAGCTTCATGTTCTCTGACTCCTCCAGCCTCCTTAGGCAGAATTTGTGGAAGTAATATAGCCACAAACTTCCCACCCGACTTATACCAAGGGACTGTGTCGTATCTCAGAAAGCCCCAGTCTCTCCTGAGTAGGCTTTCAGAAGCAGGATCTGTAAGCAATAGGTTTCCAGCGCACCTGGTCTGGCAAACAGTGTCATGCAGTCTTGCTGTTGAGCTCATCTACCCTGAGTCCACTTCAGGTCACTTGAGGGCTGCTTTTCTTTGGTACTACTAGACCACTGTTTTAGTTCCCTACTTCACCACTGCTAAATAAGTCAAACTTTTCCCAGTAGGTTCTTTTCAGTAAATATTTCCATGCTTTGGTCATTTCTTAACATAAGGTTGAGTCACGAGATAGGAGCAAAATACTCTTAATTAGATGCTTGCACCTCAGAGCCCTACACTTTGCTTCTGTCACAGTTTTCTGTGTCTTCCGAGACACCTACCAGTGAAGTAGATGCCACTGAGATTTCAATGTTGTCTGCTGGAGTACAGAACTCTTTGCTTTCTGGAGATATTTATGGCCATTTAGCTTAGACATTTTGTGTAGCATGTAACAAAGCTCTTTGTGCCATTTGCCTCCACAGATCTCACAGCAGTGAGAACAGTTTGGAATATGACCAAGAACTCCCTTTTCCATGTAGCTAAGAGTACTAAACACACGGTATGAGCCTCAACAGCCATGAAGCTAACCTGTTCAAAGCTAAGCACTTTCTGCTTCTTTGACAAATTCTGGACCTGTAAAAATCATCAAAAAATTTCTCTCCTTCTTCAATAAGAACATGTTTTTCAAACTCGATGTCTGCCTGAGCAGCTGGTGTATTGTACTGTGTTTCTAGCATTTGAATTGTGGAAACACCCTGTCATGGAAAGGACTCCAGGATGCCAGACACTGAACAACAACATATAAAAGCCTGGTTACTATTTTTACTGAACGAGTATGTCAGTTCAAAGTGCTCTCTAACACTGCTTTACTTCTTGGAATGAGACATCTCTAACTGTTCCTGGTTTTTGCTGTTGACAGAAAGAAGGCCAGTCCAGAGCTTACCTCATTGCCCAGGAGCTGATGTCTTCAGAAAAAGCGTGAGTGAACTGTTGCAACCTACCTGTTGTTCTTCTAAAGCTGAAGCTATGCAATCAACCCTTCAGCAGTGGTTTGGCAGTAATTAATAAAGATTTGTCTCTTTCCCCAGATATGTGGAGATGCTCCAGCTGTTATATATGGTAAGGAAATAATTTTAATCACTGAAACCTAATTGCCCTTCTGGTTAGCTGCAATTTAGAAGACATAAAAGCATTGAAGGGGCTGAGGTGAGTTTGAGGAGGAATGGCTTACTGTGAACCATTGCAAAGGAATACATCTGCCACTAATCTGCTCTTGCTACAGATCCTCAGATCTGGCGTTTGTCATTTGCAGGGAAGAGTGTTGGCCAGCAGTGGTTGCTGGGGCTCTGAGACTCGTACAACATGCAGAATAAGCCTAGTGTGGAAGAGGTGGTGATAAACAGGGATGAACCCACTGTTTTCAGAAAGACAGGAGCAGAGCTATGAAGCATGGGGATTTGGTTTGAATTGATTCAGTCTACTTCCTTTAAGCTTCTTATTTCTGATAATGCAATATGAGTAATATCTAGTGTGGCCTGGATATCCTCACTGTGACACAAGTGGTAACCATGGGCAAAATACAGACTCTGGTGTCAGAAACTCACGAAGCAGCATGCACCAAGAATCACTTGTAGTGCCTGACAGAGAGCTCTTGCATGATATAAACCTACTGGTGGCTTTGTCCCAGAAGACTTTGTGTCCCTTTAACAGAAATGCCGCTGCTTCCCTGGAGACTGGTACACAGCTTAGGTAGCCTGCTCTCAACATCTTTCTCGGCTGTTACTTGCAAGCAGTAGGGAATAACAGGCACCACACAAAGCATGCCCACTGCTGCTTGGAAAGAAATTGCCTGAAAAGGCAAAAAGTACCCCCCGGTTGTTCTTTGGAGGACACCCCAAACCCTAGCAGTGGGCAGGAACGCTGATGGGGAGAAAAGTAATGTACTGCATTATTTGACACTATTGTACATTATTTGACACGAGCAAGATGTAGTTGTAGTTATCCACTGTCCCCTGGGCAAAGTCCTTCTGGATTTCCAAAATATCACCAAGGAAAAAAGAGAACAAAGAGAAAACCATCTGCTAGCTTCTGAATCAAAACAGAAGAGAAACATACACACAGGAAATTACCATGCACAGAAGTATTAGCCACTCTGCATCTTCCTTAGATGCATCTGATTAAAATACGCTTAATGTATTTAATTTTCCATTTCCAAGTGTGTTTCTACTTTGGTACATTATCGACAGCATGTAAATTCAGGGCTGAACTAGAGCGCATGTATAGTGCACTGTATTTAGTGGAGGTGTCTAGGAGAGGCCTCTCCTTTGCATTATATCCTAGCATTTCCTGTATACCTCTAGGAGATAAAACCGGCTCACTAATATGGCCTGAAAAGTCCTCACTATATAGATCCAAACCTGGCTTCACATCCTCCCGGCTGCTCTAGCATGGTACTCTCAGGCTGCCTTGCCTATGCTGTTGCTGGGCCAGGAAAGGGATGCTTCAGCACTTTCCCAGCCCCTTCAGGACTTCTTATTCTGCCCTTTTCTCCTTCCCCTGGTAAACCCCCTTGTGGTGAATTTGGCTCTGAGGCTTCATGGGTAAATGAGTAATTTGTACATTTTCACAATAATCCTATTTTCTGCCTGTAGAAAACATTTGGAAGGAACAGGAAAAGAGAGTCATTTTGGCTCTCTTTTCCAAGTTGACAACTTTAACATGGGACAGGGGTTCTGGTTTATATCTGTGCTAAATTTTTCTGGTTTAGAAACACTTACGGATGCAAGTGTTGGACTCCAGCTGGATGGACTCCAAACTGTTGGTAATCCCTAATAAAAAGAATCTTCATAAAAATTGCAGCTCATAGATTACTCAGGGAAAACCTCTGCTTGATTGCTAATTTTATCTGCTCCAGAGTTTGCTCAAGCTACCAGGGAATGAAAACAGAGGGGTTTCCTGGCTTGACTCAAAAATGCGACTATTCCCTGCTCTCCTGCTGGGGAACTCAGACAGTCTAAGCAAAAATGTGTTTACTACAGAAAATAAGTGTCATTACCTGGAGCATGGTCTGCCAGTCCTGGAATTAAAGTGTTGAGGCATGAGGGAAATTTGGTCTGTTTTAATCATACTTAATCATTAGGTATGGATCAGCTGATTAATTTATCAGAGAAAAGATACCAGTAATCGCACTGCTGTGACTGGGCATGTTCTTCTATTTCTGTCAGTCATCAATTTTAATTGGAAGCACTTGTTTGGATTTTATATATGTTTCAATCCTGTAACAGAATATTCCACTGAATCCTATTTTGCTGGGATTTGTTTCCCTACCTGCCCACCCCAGTGGAGTAGAGGGATCTTATGAATGTTTTGCATATGCTTATGATTTCATTAATTGTGAAAGTCAGAGTACCAAAAAAGGAGTTAGAATTTCAAATTAAAATAAGAGATAGACCTAAAGTAAACCCTTGAGTGAATGCATTGGTTTGCAAAGTTAAGCTACTTCTAGGTTGTGAAACGTCAAAATCACTGTAACCATACACTCTTCACTTTTCCTGTCCCAGTTCTCATTGTCTCAAGTCAGAAAGTTCAGAAAGATCTGCATCAATTTGAGGATGAAATTTTGGGTGCATAATTCTGATTAACGATTTTCTTCTGCAGTGGAAAAGTATCCTTTTTGCCCCAGCACACACTCCTTTAGGGCTCCTGGAGGGTTTTTTCAGCATACTCAATAAGCAATTTTCTCAAATAAGATTTTATCCTTTCTATGAGCTGGCTTTCGAAGTAGTGAGGAAGTATGAATGGCACCTGGGCTGGAGGCTGAGGGGGAAGAGGAACAGCCAGTCTGTTTTCACACAGTTGCTAGTTCAGACACTCCTTAGTTTAGAAGAGATCAAAAATCTTTATGGCAACAGGATCAGAGGGTTCATGTCTGTGTAGAAAGCCACAGTCCCACACTGTTACCTTTTCCACCTCAACTGCTGTTGGATCTTTATATTCACCTGTTGTCCAGTGCATTACTCCAGAAACCTGGAGAAACCCTTACCCATTTTACGTTGAAGTCCCTCAGACTACAGGGGTATTACTGCCTAGCTGAAGCTTTTCAATACTGTCATAGTGCAAAAAGTTACAATGAACCAATTGCTCCTTTTTGCATATTTGAATAGCCTTAGGAATAGTCACATCAGTGAAAAGCTGTGCTTTGCTGTGCACTGGCTGTTGACACAGGTCCCACTGGCAGATGTCAGAAGCAACCACAGTGACCACAGAGTCACCAAACTGCCCTCAAGGTACAACATCCCATTCATGGTCAGTTAGGAACAAAGACTTCCTCTACAGCATGTCTCAGCTCAGGCAGACATTTCTCTCTGTTTCTCATCACCAACTTTCTCAAGAGAAAAGCTTCTAGATGTTCATATTCAAGTCTCAAGTCCTATAAACCTACAAGTTTATGAACCTACATGCTGGTAAGAGAGGCACAGAACTACACCACTGCTTTCAGAAATGAAAATACAAGGCTTTTCTTAAGCCTGCAGCAAAAGCGGTTTCCTGTGTGATTCCTGGGCTTGGCTGGAGCTGCTATTCATTCAACAGAACAGAATCTGTTTGGCCTTTCAGAGGAGACTTTAATAAATTGATTGATTGCCAGAACGATGACATTTCCATACACCCACTCTGCTATTGAACTGAAAGAGTGGAAACATTGTGTTAGCTCACAAGCTCAGTATCAGCTGGTGTGGTAGTAGTGATAATAATCTAAAGGGTTAGCTGTTATTTGCCCTACTCAGAGGTGACGCGATTCTCTGGAGCAGGGAGTTTAGAAGTCATTCTGGACTGAGCAGATGGGACTGTCAGGGCCTTGCAGTCCAAGTCCCTGATCTCTTGGTACTCACTATTTAGTTTTCCAAAATTGATTAGCCTTTGCATTTTCTTCAGGGTCATTTAATCCCCAAACTTTGTCATTCTTTTCTCCTATTTTTCTTCCCTGGTAATGTAGGCCACGCTTGCCGTCTCTTTCTTAGTGCCTGCTCCTGAACAAAATTGCTGCAAGTTGCTTTCTCAGCCTGATGTTTCACACATGACCTCTGAGAACCAAGAGCCAGGTGTATTTGCTTCCCTTCAGCCAGTCTGTTTTAAATGGCTTCACTACAAGTATACAAATCAAACTGCCTGTGAGCGACTCTGCCTCAGGATCCCAGTCCCTACAGAATCAGGCATTTGCTTGATAGTGTACCATGTTCACATTTATTTTGTCTTTGGCTTTTGTACATGAAATCACCATTTTTGCACATAAACCCCTTTGAAGTAATTTTTACTTCCCTCCAAGGTATTTAGTGAATTAAGGTACCTAAAAGGACAGTTCTGCACTGAAAAAAACACCAGCCCTAACTCCTCCCTGTTCAAAGAAAGTTGATCCTATTTCCTGGTTTGCATTTTCCTCATAACAATGGCCACAATTCTTGGAAACACCAAGACTCAGATTTATGCTTGGTCAGCATTTGAAGATACGGATATGAATATGATATGAATAGACACAACAAGTGCTGGTTCTCCCGCCTTTGGAGCATCTTGGGATCCAACCTTGCACTGGACTGAAAAATACATCTTAGAAAATAAAAAAGAACAAATCATCTTAGTGCTCAAGTCCCTAACCCAAAGGTATCTAAATGCAGATTATTATGAAGTCAGGCTCTCTGGTTAAACTCTACGTTCACAAATCTTGTGGGCATTACATCCTCAAGAACGAATAATAAACATCTGATTTAGGAGCCACTGTTACATGTTAGACAAAACAGAACTCAGATTATTTGCACTTGCAGGGAGTGATTGCCTGAGCCTTTTTTACTCCTGTGAATTTCTTGGATGATGTTCAAAGTTCTGCTGGACCAATCAAGTCATTACTTTCCTCATGAAATGCTTCACTCACTGGAGCACACTGGCTAAATAAGGGCTAGCTGACTGTTAGACCCTCTGAAGCTCTTATCAAAGCCTAAAGACACACTGCTACAAGAGAATAGCCTGCCCTCGCCTACAGTAGGCTGGGGGTTTGTCCTAATTTATCTACTCCTTGTTGTCTCCATCAGCAGTGGGAAAATAGCTCTGTATTGGCCAGGCAGCTTCTGCAGTGGGAACGCTGAGCCAAAACAGCCTTCAGATAATCTGTATGTCTCTTAAAAGGAGAGGGAAGACACACAAGCACATTTGGCATCAGGACCATTCCCTGTAACAAGCCCCGCTGATACAAATTTGCAATGGGTACTCTACAGCTTGCCAGTTCTGAAACTCATTTGCAGTGTTTTGGATAAATCTGTGTATTTGTCTGCCTGTGAGTGCATGCTGAGGTCAGGGTTCCAAACCCAGATTGTACCCTACAATGGTAGGAGAAAGGACTAATTGTTTGCTGCGATAGTATTTTCTGCTGTTCATCTGGCAATATTTCTGCTGAGCTCAGCAATGAGAGATTTGGGAAGATCACTGCTCAGTACAGATCAGGGGTCGCTCACTCTGCTACATGAGATGTGCCACTTTTTAATTCAGGGGTGCCACTTTGACTTTTGTTATCAGGAGAGAGGCTGCTGGCCCTAATGCAGCTGGACTCAAAGCATATCGAGCCCTATTGCTGGAGAGATTTAATACACAACCTCACTGTTCCTGTATCTGCTCACAACATCCAGGAAGCAAAACCCAGGTCTAACTTTTGTCCCATTAACTACCCCTTTTGCCTTTGTATTAGAATATCGAATTTCACACAGATGTTGAATCTTTCAGAGAATTTTCTTGCTAAGTGCCCTATCAAAACCTTCTGGTTACTGGCATTGCTGTCTCCTTTGAAAGAATACCTGGAGATACCTACCTGCTAGAAAGGTTTCCAGGCCACTGATCCCAGGTAACTGGGCCCCTGTTCTGTAGCCCTGAGCCAGGTACCTAAATCTTCTTTTTTTTTTTATTTTTCCCCAAACCTCTCCTGTCACTGCTGTTTCCTCCCAACATTGGCACTGCTGGCATCAAAAAAGCACCTCGTATCGCACCACCCTCCAGTGAGCCTCATCACCTCACAGAGGGTATCACATTCTACTCCAAGAGAAAGGCATGTGACAGTTAGGCAGTGCTCTGCATAAACCATGAGATCTTGTTGAAATCAACCCTGCATTCCTCCTCGCCTTATGCCCCTATGACAGGCTCCAGGTTACAGTCCCCATTTCCAGCAGGGAACAGCAGTTCTTCAGATGCATTTTTGAGGCAAAACCATAACTCCTGCATGTTAGTGATGTGCAGGAACAAAAGAATTAAAAATAACCAAACCCCAAACAATCTTTGTGGTTGAGGGTTCTGATCCTCTTTGCTTCACTTAGTTACTTGTAGAGTTTATTTCAGGGATGATAGGCCACTGGATGCCGGTAAAGGGCTTATTTATGGGTGTCTAAAACGTGATAAAAAGTTTTATGCTTCAAAAATGTATTTTTATACCAGAGTTTCAAACCTTGTGTGTCACTCAGCAGCTTGAGTTATGCTTTCACATGCACACACGAACTGGTGTGTGTAGACTGGTGCAGGTGTAGGCATAAGACAGGAGTCAGATCATAGGCTCATACACCCCTGGATGAGCCTGAGCTCTCTGGCTGTCATGCCAGAGCCTTGAACTGAACAGCTTCAATTCATGCTGCTGTTCTAAATAAGTTTTGACCCAGCAGGGAATGATACGGACTCAGTGTTTGGTACCTCCTGTGTATGGATGTGTGGCTTGGGTGGCAGACTTGGAGACCTTAAGGTACCGTGACTGATTACAGCTAGTGAGATTGCAAAAGCACTTTCCATTTGATTTATGGCTTCCCAGGCACTCAGCATTTTCAATAGTGACACCATTCTTATTTTTTTTAATGGCCATTTATAGCGATTGCTGTCATGCTGCAGGGTGTTGGTAATCATTAGGAAGCTAGCTATCCAGGCAACTGGAATGAAATCATTTGTTTGAGAATTAACTATAATCAAAGGCACAGGCAAGTACTGACTAATTCAATTCACTGAGATGCTGTGGGAAAGGAGTGTTAATCTTGTTGCTCAGCTGTGGTGGGAAGTGGACAGATTCAGAGCTGTTCCACGTTCGTTTGGAACAGATTACATTTCTGTAACATAATAGGTTACCTAAGCACACCAGTAGTGAACTTAGTACAGCTATTCACTTCCCCAGGCACAATAAGCTGTAAGGACCCTTTGGATTCTTTCCCTTTCCCCAGTCTTGATTAATTGTGATAACTGAGGACTTTGAAAGGTTGCAGATCCCTTTGACTTAGGAAAAGCATCCAGAAGATGGACTGACTGGCTTACTTGGCTGGAAAGCCTCTGGGAGTGTACTGGCTGAAGCGGGTAGTTGAATAGGCTCACTCACACATCAGAAAAAAATGGGAGCTGGAAAGCACAACATTGGGGTTATTTATGGTACTGGGGCAGGACACATGGGAATCAGACCCAGATGATTAGGAAACATAGTATGCTTTCAGAAATGTTTATGATCTTATTTTATCCAGTATATAGTTATTCAAAAAGAAAATTGTCACCATCATCTTTTTTTTTTAACCTAGTTCTACTGGCTTTTAGCAAAAAAATGCTTCTTCTCTCACTGTTCCTAAAAACCCACAGGGTATGTGTGACTTTCCTTTTGGCTAGTAACCATGAGATATCCCAGTCATTCTGGGTCATAGTGAGCCACTGTGTACATTGCAGTTGACAGTGTTACAACAGAAAAGCCAGGAATGAATCTGAGGAGACAAAAAACTGCTCTTGTCTGGAGCCGGTTCCTACTGGTGAGGTGAGAGAAATGTTGAAGGTCTTTGCCCAGAGCCTCTCCTGCTCCTGATAGAACCTTTCAGCACGACCAAAGTCATACCAACCAGACCCCCAGCCCTCTGAAATCAATATAGCTACCTTGACTTAATCAAACTAAAGTAGACCACCTAATGTAAGATATGGATCCCCAGTGAATCATACTCTATTGAGTTGCTCATACCTGTAACATCAGCAAGTTTCATGGAAATAATTTCCTTCAGACTCCTCTTTAATTACTGCACATGTAATACTTCACTAGAGAGGAGGCAAAGTCATGAGAAATGCCATGGTAAATCCCAGTATGGCCCAGAGAACTTTGTAAGATTGTCCCTAAAAGTTCAGGGAACAGAATTTGGTTTCACGTTCACTAGATCCTGACAGAGGAAGATAACCAACCTATCCCATCCTGGTTCAGGGCCAGAAGGAAGCAGTTTGGCATCTTTCAATGAGCTGTGTGACCTTAGAAGTTTCTGTTTATCAAGCCCCTGCTTCCTGTCACAGCACATTTGGCCACATCACATACAGTGAGGTAGAGGCCAGGAAATGGTCTCTGAGTGGAACAATCCAGCTGTCATTTCTATTACCTCATGCAGCAGCATCACCTCAGTGACTGTTAAAGCAGCTGCATTTTTTTTTCTTCTGATTGATTGGCTCCTACGGGCTCACAGAGAGTGTTTTAATATATCTTTGAAAAAACATTGGTTTGAATAGTCATGCACTGTTTGCAGAGTAGCATGTGGAACAATACATTCAAAGCACGGATCTGGCCAGACTGGTCAGGCACTAAAGCTTTCCTTCACACTAGTTCTTGGGCTGAAGCAGAGCTCATTGTGAACATGCTGGAAGAAGAACCTCTGGTGTGATGGCCTTTGGCTGACAGGGTGCAACCAGGACTTTAACACCAGCTCTGCTGTGACTAGGTGCTTGGGCTTTGTATGTGGTTATGAGCCACCTGATCCTTCATGAGAGCACCAAAAGCTCCAGTTTTAACTTGTGGTTTGCTTTTTTCTAGTTATGTTAGCATAACATAACTCAGCATAACATAAGTTTCTCAGATATGTTAGCATATCCATAACGTGGTAGATGCTGTATTAGATCAAAAGTGGTTGTTTTCTAGTACTGCTATATTGTAGGAAGTTGTGTGGGCTGGACTGCTGCTCAGTAGGCAAGGAAGGTGAGCTAAGGACAGAAAATACTTGTATAAGGAAGGAAGCTTTGCAGTCTCCTAGGCTGCACCAAAATGACTTGTGAGGAGCTTTCGAACCTTAGAGTTAATGTGGCCTCTCCACTGAGCTGCTGTTTTGATTCTTTACTCGTTTTTGCTCTCACATCTTTTTTCCTCATCTTGTGTAATAAAAACTGTACACTTCATGGCTTACTGGGATGCAGAAGAAGTTTGGAAAAGGCACTCACAGAATCTGTTTCTAAGCAATTGTATATGAGTGCCTGGTTTCTGCTCTGATCACAAACTGGGATGTACTTGTTTTGCACAGAAAGTATTTGCTGGCTGTTGTTGGGATGATTTTCTAACTCCTGGGGCTTAATACAAATTATCACTGCAGTTCCAGATGGAGGCTTTATTCCTCACTTCCAAGTCAAAGCTGCAGAAACATCTGCTTTGCACTCTTCAACAGGTGCTGTATTATGTACCGAGCTGGCTACATTTTAACATAGAGGAAATTACTCCTGTGCCCACATAAGCTAAAATTCATGATCAAAACCACTTCAAAGATGAGGAAAAAATGTCTAAGTTAGGTTTCACGGGAAAAATTATTTGTTCCATAGCTTAAATTCATAGCTTCTTCCTCTCTTTAAATTCAGATTTGGAGGCAAGAGTTGCAGATCTTAGACAAGACATGTTTTTCATGTCAAGCTGTTGGACCCAATGAAATGACAGGAGAATCTCATCCTTCTGTTTAAAAACTCGTGTTTCTGGTTAAGAAACACTGTAAAAGTGAGACCAATTACACTCAGAAAAGCAGGGAAAAAAGGCAAGGCAATGAAAAGACACCAAACTCATTGTACACATAAAGGTCTGATGGCTTGGTCAGCTGAAATGTTCAAATTTGGGTTGACAGCATTGTGGAATTCAGCTGAAAATGTGAATGAACTAATGGATGGAAGAAAACATACTCTATGATCTTCTTGCTATACTGAGCACACTCTATCACTATTGATGGCATATCTTTTAGTTTCTAGAAAGCATAGCTTAGGAGTCAAGAAATTGTAATGATAATTTCAGAAAAGAGACTTGAAGTTTGTTTGTCTAATTTCTGTATTGTTGTTCACAGGATTTCTATGAAGGTATCTTGAAAGTGCTTGAAGGAGGAGATGAAAATGAACAGGAAGAAGTTAAACTCAAGCAGGGCTTAAGTGAACTTCCTGAAATATATGAATTACACCAAGACATCCTGGGAGAACTGGAAGAAAGAGTCCTTAAATGGTAAGTATGCAATGGCATAGTTTGATGGCCTTAACATACCCTCCACATTTGGGTGAACTCACCAGTGTTCCCTTGACCCCCGTAGCAGGGAAGCTGGGATTCCAGCAGAGGTGAAAAGAGTAGAACCTGAACTACTCTGGCAGATTTTGCATACAGGTAGAAAGGAAGTAAACGCAGATGCTGCCAGGCTAAAAACCAAATACTGAAACATTTGTGCAGCGCCCAGCCCATGGCTCTGAAACAGCCAGTGTGAGGACAGCCAGCATATGCATTGTCCTCTGATGCCAGTTCATGGTCGTCGCCAAGTGGCTTCACACTCATAGCCGGAAGGTCAGAGACTCGTGCCATGGGAGGCAGGAACAGCAGACATGAGAATTGATCATAAAGAAGATCATCTGCTTACAGAAATATACGCAGCAACTGCGTAGCTCTCAGCAAAGGGCACCCCTTGCCCCCGGCAGCAGGGGTCTGCGCAGCTAGGCTTCCAAGCCAAACAGACACCACCAGCCTGCTGAGGGCCTCCACCTAAGCCAAACATCCTTACAGGACCAAGTCCTTCCATGAGAGAATGATACCATGCCTAGGACAGACAAAGCTCCAAAACTCATTCAGTTAAGGAGACCTCTGACTTAAGCCAGGCTGCCAGGTCCTAATCTATCAAACTGGTGGAATGTCTAAGAGAAATTACATCTGCAGACCCAAGCTGACTAAACCTACGTCAGGCAGCACAGCCCCTGGCCTGGCCTGAACAGCTGTGGCTCTGACAGCTTATGATGAACCATGCATGCAGCCCCACACCTCCACCCTCCTGGACTCTGGGAGACAGTGGTCATTGACAATGGCTGATCCTATCCCAGCATTGCCACTGAGCAGGTAAGGAAGTCCATTAGATCAGGAGAACTTTTCAATAACAACCCTAAATGTAGGGCACAGCTCTCCTTGTCAGCCCTGCACTTTCAAGGCAAAGCAAACAAGGAAAGAAAAGGCTAAAAAGAAGTGTATGTTGGTTCATGTCCACCAAGGGACTGTTACAAATGGCAGAAAGACTTGACAATTTCATCAATGATTTATGAGTTACACCCTCATAACACAGACAGAAGTGGTGTTTTCCAGCTGGTATCTAAAATGACTTGTGTACTAAAGAAGGCACAGCCCTACTCCAGCAGTACCCTGCCTGTTCCCTAAGATAAAAGGGAAACAACTGGAAATGCCCTAAGATTCTGTCCAGAACTACTCTGTGGCAGTGGGGAAAACAGAGGGCTACATTGCAAATGCTGCCAGTGCAACAGCATGACATACGGCACAGGGCTGTGCTCACATAGGTTCCCAGGTCGCCACCACCCCTGAACCTTCCAGTAAGTTCTTCCTTGTGCCTGTGCTCCCCCAGACACTCTGTTGCTCTGACATCCCCAGAAACTCGTGTTCCTCTCTAACCTATGATTTCTCTTTTGCAATCTCAGATTTTGTCCTGTTCTCTCCTTGTACATGCTTCATACATATTTCAATACTGTGCAACCCAGTGTTGAGACAGATGATAGTGGGATAGTGCTGAGAAGGGGGCAATGAAGGAGAGACAAAGATGTGAAATTACAGCTGAAGATGTTGTATTATCCTTCACAAGCTGTGCTCGAAGCATTGCAGCACCTGGAAGGTCTGTTTAGAGAAGTGGAAGCTGTGTCCAGAGAGGAGACATCCTACCCACTATGCGACACACGGTGCTGCTGTGGCAAAGGCCCAGCCCAAGCTCAGCCCCTCAGGGTGCCCATTCTACAGCCCCCTGTTTTGTTGCCCAGTATGTCAGCAAAGCAGTCCCTCTTTCCTGCCATTTTGCCTAAGCTTTAGCAGCACAATGTCCTTAGCCATTGTGGGTCTGATACAGTGAGAAAGAAGTATGGGTCTTCTTTACTTTTTATTTATTTATTTGCTTATTTGCTGCTTCTTTTCTTTCTGTGGCCCTAGGGAGGAACACCAGAAAGTTGCTGATGTTTTTCTCTCCAGAAAATCAAGGCTGAATTGCCACACAGCATACATTATGCAGTTTGATAGGAATTTGGCTTTGCTAGATGAAACCTGCCTTAAATATTCCCAACTGGCTGCCATAATTCAGGAGTTTGAGGTAAGGCTCCCATGGTTTTCTGCCTGCACTCATGCAAGCTGGTGTCACTGGGCTTACTCAAAGATATTTTATTTCTGTAACTCCACCAGTGTTCACACTGAGTAGAATAGAATAGCTCTCTTCACACATTCCTGATGCTAAAAGTGAGATGCTCACACGTGCATGATATGTGTTTATCTGTCTGCTGCCCACACAGCCATGTCTGTGCATAGAGAATGTGTTTGTGAATCTACAGTTCTGAGTATATTTTGTGAAATATATGCACATAGTGGAATAGTTTCTCTGTCACATATTAACTTATTAAGCTCTTTGAGGATGTGTTAGAGTTAATAGTTATTATTATTACAGTTTCTTCATATCTCCTCTGCTTTCACTGCATTTTCTATCCTTTCTTTCGTAGTCTAGCCAGGTTGAAGTTAGGGTTAGCCTGTATAGGTGCTTGGCCGCTGGCAGCGATCAACCCACATCTTCTTTACAATTGCACCTCTCTGCATTTTTAAATGCCTGCTAACTACTTCCTCTGTTTACAGAGGATGTTGTGACAGGCAATACTGCACTGCACAGGAAGGCACAAACTCCACTGGCCAGTCACGTACAGGGCTCTTTTCATCTGGGCTCCCTGAATGATCTGTAACCTCTAGTCCTATAACCTCTGGCCCTGTAGGAAGAAACACACATATTTCAGTTGTGTTAACTCAGTCATCCGTGCTGAATAACTGAAAAACACCATGCAGATACATGTTAAAATACGCATGATTCCTGATTACATTTTAAAGTACTGGCAATGTAGCTACTTCACATAATTTCAAAAGCATAAACCCATATGTGGATAGGAAAGCTCAGCTGGGCTACACTGGCTCTATGGAGCTAAACCAGTTAAAAGCTATGCTGCTTTTTTTGGGTCTATAACCCTTGTTTCTTGTTGTCTTTATCTGGTAAGAGAAATAACAATGTTTACTTGGGTGGCAGAGGGGCTATAGGGATAAATTAGTGATCAGACCTTAAAAGTTATTTAGAACGCCAGCTCTGTGGGGTATGGATTGTGTTTTTCTCTGCAGCACATGTTAAATATTCAAGATAACAACTAATTTCAAAAGACATTTGGAAGCCAGCACTTACAGTCACCTTCTTGCAGTCACCACAATGATTTCCAGTTATCAGCTGGGCTTGCTCTGAGGGCTTACACTACTCTGAACAAGAACTTGGCAAATACAGGCTCTCTACTGACAGCCTGTGTTCACAGCATCCCTGCCAGCCACACACCTAACTATTAACCTGGAGAATTAGCTTTTAGTTCTAAGAAAGCAGATAAGGCTTTTCCTAGGGTGAGATCAGCAGGATTTAGCTCTAGAATCACTAGCCTCTATAACGTCTTGCCCTCTTGCAAGCATTCATGCACACACAACTGGGGGGGGGGGGGTCTCAAGACTTTCCTACTGCATTTTTGTAAAGCATGACCACCATCAGCTTTCCAGTCTAACAATACAGAATTTAGGGCCTCATCCTTTTTTTCCCTGGCACCTCTGACCTGAGTATGGGGGACTGGGAATGCTTAGCACAACCCCGAACACACTTTTGTTGAGATTAGCCTGCCAGTTAGAGGAGTAATACAGTAACATGAAACATTTCTTCTGCCTTGGAAAATGCTGTCTCTTGCTGACTGGGCCTGATATGCGGCAACAGTAAAGGTAAAGAGAAAAATGCTACTTCTTTTCCTCGTGTGTGTTAAATCAGATCACAAGCTCATCTTACTTCTTGTAAACACTCTCTGGATATTGAATTCCAGCTTAATCACAGGGAGATGCTTTGCTGTATTTTGCTCAATTCCACGTCTTGAAATAAGGCCGAAGAAAACTTTCAGTCCAAAAAGGAATGATGACAAGATTCACTAGGATCTGATACCTCTGTCTTCAAATGCCATCCTAAAATCTTTATCCAACCTTTACCTTCTAAATGATATTCAATTTCCTCCCATTTCCCTCTGAGTCCAAACTATTTCTGAATAATGCCATGTGAAATAAAGTGTTTACAGTACTTCTTTATAGTCACAAAGCAACCGGGACAAATTAGGAATGGTTCAGTGGAATTTGTGTATGCAAGTGGTAGCAAATTTTCACAGCACACATCAGGTGGAAATGGCAGTTTGCTGCTGAGCTCAGACATCCCTCATTTTGTGTTTCCTTTTCCTTCCATTGAGGACAGCAGAGCTCTGGTGACAGTCCTCGGAGTGTGAAGCACCAGCTTTTGAAAGTGGTGCAGCGTGTCTTCCAGTATCGTGTTCTGCTCACAGGTCAGTAAATTTACTCTCCAAGGTACTCAGTGGAAACCCTCCCATGATGTCCTGTACCTCCACTGTGCCACATGTTGATGCCAAGACATCTAAAATAGGGCTGAAGCAGTGTAGATGTCAGGATGCCAGGGAGGACACAGCACTAGAAAGAGAAAGGTTTATGGATAGGACATTCGAGGGAATGGCTATCCATGCACCGCACCATTCTCAGCACAGAGGCCCAGTGCTTGGATGGAGAATTTAGGAGCCTGGGTTTGTCATCTGCATTCTGGCAGGAGGGTGCTTGTTCCTCAAGAATTCACCTGTACTTGTGAAGGTGGGAGGATGGAGGTTGGACCCCTAATCTTTCTTTGCTGAAGCAGTCATGATCAGCCATTTGTAAAGTCAGCTGAGAAGTCAATAGATGAGAAGTGAATAGATGAGAAGACAAGGCCAGGTTGGACACAGGGGCTTGAAGCAACTTGCTCTAGTGGAAGGTGTCCCTGCCCGTGGCAGGGGGTTGGAACTGGAGGAGCTTTAAGGTCCCTTCAACCCAAACCAGTCTGGGATTCTATGATTAAGATAGATTATGTTTTAGCTAATAACAATATAAATTATGTGGATCTGTATTCTGATTACTGGATGTCTCTGTGCGTTTGATTATTTTCTACAGATTACTTGAATAATCTTTGCCCTGATTCTACAGAGTATGAAGCCACACAAGGTAAAATGAAATAAGTAGAGCAAGTATTCTGCTTTGCTAACTCTGCTTCTAAAGAGGTATAGGATCTATACTGGCAGTATATGGAAGAGGATATTTAAGTTTTTGTGTTAATAGGTTAGCTATAAGATCTATAAGAACTGATCAGTAATTTAAACAAATTATTTAGGGCAAGAACCCCACTTTTTTTCATTGAAACATGGGCTTCCTGTGGTTTTGGCATGAAGAACTTGTACAAGAAATAATCATCTATACAAGCATAGTGCAGATGTAGTTCAGTCATTGGGGAAATCCTGATCCTTTTTGGCTCCATTCGTATTTGGCCTGGTGATTGTAAAGTCAATTGGGATGGCTCCACCTGGTTCGCTGTGGTGTGCCTGCTGGGAGAAACCCAGGAGGTTTTAATTGTGTATCTGTATTCTGATTCCGTAAGCCTAAGTAAACTTGAAAGACATTGCATAAAAATCAGTTCTGCACAATCCAGAACAAATCCAGATGTTCAGCTGCTAACACCATCCTTTCCACACGTAAGATGGATAAAATAGAAGTCTCTTACTCCCACTGAAGCCAAAGCAAGGTTTAGCTGTGGCCTAATTGGGAGTATTTTCCAGGCTGGAGTAAATAGGAGTATCGTTGTATTAATGAAACCAGTTTACCTGTGTTACACTGAGCATAAATCCAAACCAACTCACAGTAATAAGGTCTGTGGCTGACTGAAGGTCAGTCTTTTCTGCCCAAGAGTCATCTCATGCACGATTTAGGGCCCTAGTCATTGACAGTGGGACTACACCCATACCAGTAATTTAAACAAGGCCAGGGCAGATGCTCAAGCCCTGTGGCCACAATTGCCTATCTATCTTGTTTGTGGTTATCAAACAATGGCAAGCATGCTCCCAGATTACACCCAGAAATGGACAGGATGCCCTATTCTACAGGGGAATTGATTTGAGACAAAGATCTGAGCCATGTTATGCCACTACTCTCAGGGCCGTCAGCCATGCCCTGGCCCAGGTCATTTGCCAGTGGAGAAGCCAGGTGTTAACTTGTATCACCACTTCATACGCACTTCCATCAGGAATGGATGACCTGCCCTCTCCTCCTTTCCCTTGGCAGTCAGGGGAAAGAGATCACCTTAGACTGCCATGCTTTTGGATAGTTAAAGGTTGGTTACATTAATGTCTCCCTACTACAAGCTCTGATTGTCAAAAATCTTGCAACTAGAAAACATCACAAAAAGATTTTGTGCCATGCTAGGTGCTTAAAAAGGGACCTCATGAGTTTTCTTGGTCGGCACAAGTATCATTGCAGAGTTCCACACAAGAAAATGGTACTGACAGCATTGTGCCGTATCTGAAATTTGTCGGGCAGTTGCATTCTAAAGGTGCCAAAGAAGTTAAAGCAGCTGCTGCTGGGGATGTTGTTTCCTTTTTTTCAAAAAAGATGCCCTTGCAAGCAGAAGGGATTTGGGTTTTTTTCCTACTCTTTTATGTGATTTATGGTGTTTGTTTTGCTTCGTCCCCCAGCTGCCTTATTCATCATTTCTGAAATCACAGACCGAGCCAATGACAGCATGCTCCAAGCGGTGAGTGCTGCCATGACACACACTCTCCTGGTGGATAGTGTCTTTTCTGCACATCTGCTGAAGTGAATACCTGTCTCTGCTAAATTCTGAAGCCTCCTCCAGGGTGATACTCAAGGGCTTATACAGATCTGGTTTACAGTATTGCAGATATGGTGTGGGTCTGTGCCCTGCAGTGCCCCTGTGCAAGATGTAAGTCATCATAGCAAGCGGCACAAAATTTTTTCCCTCTTGGGGTTGCTGGAATGGTATATGGAGCAATGAAGCGAGAGATGGGAACTTTCATGGTTCTGTTTCTAGCCTGGGACGGTTTTAGATATGAAGTGTTGAAGACATCGCAAATGTACTGTCAAAAGATAAATTCTGAGCTCATTTACATGATTTTCCCACAATTCTGGAATCCAGCATTCAGAAGAATAGGTCACGGTTTATAGTCTTGCAAATGATCACATAATTGAATAGACTGGACAAGACTTTCATGGGTTAGAACTCATGTCCAAATTCAGATTTAGGTATCTAAGTAAGTTACATAGCTTTCCAAAGTAATGAATAGCTTCTGTAGGGTCACTGTGATTTATGAATATCACTTACATGCTATTAGAGTCCTAATTTACTGGCAAAGATCACCCGCATGTAGCTGGTCTTACGATCTTTTTGCAAGGATCTAGGTCTGGTTTCTGTCTAAGATTGTACGAATTTTCTGTTGACATCAGGAAGTGGTGTTGGGAGGCATAGAAGGCAGCAGAGAAACTCACGCACAGGATCCAACAGGTTCCAGAGGAATTCAGCTTGGTGGACCTCTGGGTGATAACTAAACACAGTGCTTTTCTTTTTGTCATACCAGCGACCCACCCCAGCAGCTAAATTCTCTCCTGAGAGCCATGTTTGCATTACCTACACAGAGCTTGCATTCACTTCAAGTAGTTAGAAAGAAGTACCTACAGTCTTTGCAGTCTAAGAAAATGTTGCTCAGTTTCAGAGCAATTCTGTAGAGTGGCCAGATTACATTTCTTTCTGTGATAAAACTCTAGGCTTGTTAGACCAAAGAAATAGTCACAATACCGTCCCAAATTTCAACAACTGCCATTTTCAAGCAGTTCTTTCTAAGGCATTTTCGTCACCAAGGAGATGTGCAGATGCTAAGGAAGATGTTGACTGTCAGGTGGTTTGTGTTCAATAGCATGCTTGTTAGAGGACAAAGCACCTCATTCCAGGCATCCTGCATTTCATCCAGAAGTGAGTGGTTACACTGGAGCGTTTCTTTCTCTAAAGGTGTCTCATCTCAAGTATTTTGTCATTGCTCTGGGTCATAGGGATTTAGGTGATTTGGAATGTATCATATTTTTGGGAAGCTTTCACATTTTACTTTTCATTTGAACACTGCTGAATTTAGCACCCTGCACTGGGATTTTGCTGTACCTTTGCTAAATTATATTGCAATAAACCCTCCTCTATGGTTAGTACCAATTCACTTCTTTATCATTTCATTTACTGAGCAGAGAGAGGGTTGTTAATAATCACTGAGGCATCAAAACACTGGGCATCATTGCAGACAAAGGGAAGAAACTGAGTAGTAACCTTCTTATTAAGAGCTTGTTTTCAAGTTGGATTTTAGGTCAAAAGAATGAATGCACAGGAATTGTTAGGGAGGTCACTACAACCAGGCTGGAGGTCACTACAGCACTGCTGGCTCAGCATATTCCTTTCAATGCATGTGCCTTCTGGCTGCAGGGGAATAGAAACACGGGGTGAGGCAGTGAATTCAGATTGTTACGTGCTAAAAATTAGATGAAGGATGTTTTTGCAACAGCTTGGGAGGTAAGAAAGAAAGAGTTTCAAACCTCGAGGTGCCCCTCATCTGTTGAAACTGGAGCTTTCATGCTCCGTTCAGGGAAGTGGAAGCACTCTGCTTGCATCAAATGAACCCAAGAGCCAAGAAGGTTAACTTCTGCTCACATCTGGAAATCTCTGCTGCTCAGGTTTAAGAGCCATGTCTCTGATAAGTGTGCCAAGGTCAAAAATGGAGCTTGTGTGTTTACGGACTGTTTCAGAATACCACATTCAGTGATGATCTTATGGCCAGTGACAGACAAAACCCAAGCTTTCTAATATTTGTATCAGAAAGGGATAATTGTAGTTAAAAAAACCCTTACTATTTCCTGAATAGAAAACCTGTCTTCATGGATCTGCCTCCTTCCCCAGCTGATAGCCAGAAATTGAGACCAAGGCTCTGAACCTGCTCCTCCTGAAGCCAGTGGCAAAATTACCACAGATCAGCATGAACTCCAGTCAGTGCGTTTCTGGTTTTCTGCAGAGATGATGTCAAGCCATGACAACTGATCCAAGATTTTGAGCATTCTGAAGTTTAAGGTTTTTAAGGTCAAAACTTAAAATTCAGATCTGTATTTTCACTCAGTGCAAATGTAAAAAAGCTTGGACCTGTTTGTTTGCTTTAAGTCCCTTTCTGCTTATCTGCTCCAAGCTTTTCCACCCTCAACCCTATCCTGGCACATCTACCTCAGAACACATTCCCCCTTAATACAATAACATCAGCCCATGTGCTGCATTGCTGTGGCTCTGTGGCAACCCAAAACCTTCAAACCTTCATTATAAAGACAGAGCTTTTTTTATCGCTCCTGCTCGCTGAGGAGAAGTTCCGAACATGAATCGTGTGTAAACAAAGCAGCACACTCTGCTTCAGCAAGCAGACAGCCCGAACACCTTTGCTGAGTATAAGCTATCAGCTGTGCTGATCTCCTTGGCTCCTTACGCTCAGCTTTATTTAAAGATACTTTGGGTATCTGCACAAACTGTTTTGTCATAGCTATTGTACTAGATAGGATGGGGGCAAAAGCTGGGATGAAGGTATTTGCAGAAGAAATGGTAGTTGCATTACAGCCAAATGTAATGGTGAAGCAGGAGAAGGAAAGAAAAAAAGAAATAAAGCATGACAGAAAAACAAGTACATGGAAACGATGATGGAACTGCAGGTTAATTGTGACTGATGTTCAGCACTGACAGCAGTAACTAGTAGCTAATTACTACATAAATGCTGTTCTGTTACCAAGACAAACAAACAGATGTAGATTGCAGGGAGGATGTCGTCTGACAAGACTAGAGTTTTATCATAAAGAAAAATGTCACCTGGGCCCTCTGCAGAATGACTCTGAAACTACAGACTTACCGAAGAAAGTTTTCAACAAGGTTGATTCTGATTTTCTTTGCCCTCAGGCAAAGAATTTATAACCCTATTTTCCATTATTAAGCATTCTTTGTATGAAAATAATACATATTTCATCATAAACCTGAGATCTCAAGAAAAGCTTCCACAATTATCTCAGAGCTTTAGGGATACCTGTATCAGAGGCTGAGAACTGTAAGAGCTCAGTTCCCAACAGGTCAAGCTCACACATCTTTTGCTGGCACCTCTGCTTCCTTAGATTTCACTCAGATTTATGGGAGACCTGTATGAATGTTTTTCTGAAGTTCACAGTATACGTAAGTGGCCAAAATCGCATTTGCCATGTTGCATTACCATGCGATGATTTTAACCACCCACAAAAGCCACAATCAGTTCTTTTCTTTCTCTCAGATTTTTAAAAAATGCAAAGAACTTAAGAAGTTGTTCTACTTCCAGAATAGACTGAACAACGCCACTCGAGAGAGGGTGTTAGGAACTTGTCAGGTATCTGGTTGAAGTTCTAAGTGGTAATTTAGACTTGGCATGTACTTGGAAGGAGGAAGATTGCTGCTGCTACTTATCAACTCATCAAACTACGCTCCTAGAATCTGACAGGAGCATTGAATTACACTGTACATTTTCTGCAGATTATCAGTGATTCATGATTAGCTGGTTTGTTTTATGTGAGTAACACTCCAGCAGTTTTTCCCTGGCAACTATTAACTGAGGATTTTCAGACACATTATGATATTGATTATCTCTATGGCATTTTCATCAAGTAAGAAAATACTATTCACAATTTTCAGTTGTGCAAACAGAGGAGTAAGGCATGCCATCACCACGTAGCATTGTCTATCTGTAACTCTAGGAGACATTCACTACTTGAACTAAGCATGGCTTGTATTGCTTTCTGAACTTCTACAATCTGTTAGAGGCCCTTAGATGCTCAGAGCTATAAATCATTGTTGCTATTAACAGCTGGTGAATTCCTTGGGGAGGTGTTCCTCCTACATGGACATAATGATAATAGGATGGAGGCTGCAGTTCACTGCTGAAATGGCCAGAGGGTTTCAGCCACCCACATCTGCAGCACTAGCTGGGCAGAGCTTTGCTTTCATTTTTTAATCATAGCTTAAGGATCAAGTATCCTCAGAAGGATATTTGAAAGGAGAATGATGATAGTTTCAAGGAGAATGAAGAAAACTATATAAACAGGGAATTTACGGGAACTGTAAAGACATTATAAGCCCCCACAGCTGCCCAAATTCCCAGATAAATCACTGTCCTTCACATGTGATGGCTGTTTGACTTCCTATGGGAAATTAGTTGGATACAACTCTGTCCATTTCCCGGTGAACATGTGTCCACACTGCAAACGTCAGCATGACAACAGGCACCTCTGCCAGCAGTCCTAAGAAAAGCTGAGGTGTATCTGAGCTGCAGCAACTTCTCTTCTCCCTCTTGTAGAAAGCCCAATGCTAGCACTGGCCGTGAGAGCAATGCTCACAGGAGTGCATTGCTTTTTCTGCAGCTGAAGGACAGGTTTCCACTGTGAAAGCTATCAATGTGACAAGTTTTGCTAGGGCTAAAATACCCTTTAGTGATGGGAAAGTCCTTGCAAATATCTTTTGCAAATGTCAGCTGTCCTGGTCCCTGGTATTTCCTGTCCTATTAGTTTATACATTCTGTTTCCATTTTGCTGGCCTATAGTATTTTAAAGTGACCTGAAAATTTCCATTTGTTACTTCCTGCATTGTAAAACAGATACTTGATGGCTGAAATTCTTGAAAACGTGTCAAGCACCAGTTGTATCGCATGGTCATAATGCAGTCCTGTGCTGTTCAAGGCCTGTGGGTGTTTCCATCTGTTTCATACATGATTACTGATTTAGAACTAAACTTAGCATCATGCTAAAGAAGCCTTATATTTCACCAGGGCAGTAACACACGGAGGCATTTCAGTCTTACTTGGAAAAACGAGCTGCAGTAGGTACATTCATGGTGTTACCTGAAATCCAGGGTAAATCAGCCTTGACAGACCAGCATGCTGACAGGATATGCTCCTTCTGATACCTGCAATAGCATTAGCAATTAGCTGATTCTGCAGAAAGCACTGATTTGTATCAGGCAGATATACTGTATGATCTAATCTAGTCTAACAAAGCCCAGGGCTATCTTAATGCCCGTCAGTGGAGCATAGGAAAACAGACCATTATCTGTCATAGCATAAAACTTTACTCAAAGGCTGCCAGGTCATGAAGCTGTATCAGATATGATCCTCAGACTGTAGTTTATCTGGGTGTGTAACTGAGGATTTAGGATACAATGGCTAACTTAGACAAGAGACTTGGATTTTAGGCATATTCCAGTGATGACTCATTGCTGCTGGGCAGCCCATTCTACTCTTCTGACCAGATACAACCACACGTATGAGTCTTGGTTTTAGCAGCCTCACCTGCTAACTGGAAGGAGATCTGAAAAGGTTCTAGCAATATTGTAAAGGTACAGATGTCTCTTTTTCCTCCTTCGTATGTTTATCCAATATCATGGGTTTTTATGACAGCACAGGCTTAGCTAGATTAATCTTATTTACCATCTTCATAGAGAAGTTCATGACACATGCCAGTGCCCACTGACTGTGCTTTAAGACCAGGTAGGCAGTTCATAGTACGGTAATGAACTTTCTGACTTTTGCAAAGCAAAATCATTAACAGAGAGATGCAGCTTCATTGCCTCCTTACTAGTTAACCTTCTAAATCCTCTATTGCAAAACTATTAATCCCTTATCACAGAATATAAACCTCCAAATTATCTGTGTCATGCCACTAATGCACAGGCCTTTGGAGTGGATACTGTACTTTGCCCCTGCTTCCAGCTTATTAGTTCCCAGAGCAACAAAGTCAGCAAAGAGGCCAATGTATAAATACAGTATGGAGTTAGCAGGCCCTTTTGAAGGTGAACTGAGGTATCAGAGGTAAGAGGACTGCCAAAGACCACAGCAGATGTGAATGCAGGTGATGAGGTTTTATAACACTTGTAAGGCTGGAAGAAGACCTTCTGGGCATAAAATCCCTGGGCTCAGTTCTCTCTGAAACTGAATTCTGTAATATCACTTTCAGGGAAATAAAATGGTAAGAAGGGGCGAGGGAAGGCTTGCCACCATGCAGTTTCCTAAGCACTCTTTCTCTCCCCCAGGAAAACTTGCAGAAGCTGGTACACATTGAGCACAGCGTGAGAGGGCAGAGCGGTCTCCTCCAGCCAAGAAGGGTGAGTGCTTTTCAGCACTGTGCTGAAAAGGGCATTGTTTCCAGCCAGCTGTATCTCTGGCGTATGGACGGCCAGATTTCAGACATCTACAGGAGCTGTTTGCTGAGCTACTGTGGTAAGACTCAGAGCTCTGCTTTGTGAAAAAAGCCATCACTCTGGCAGTGCATAGAGGTGTGCTGAGAGCCTTAGGCTGGGAAAGACGTGTATTGGCCCTGCCTTCACACAGGCCCTGCCTTTCACTTTCCTCTCCAGCTGCCCTCAGCCACCCCATGTGTAATGTGTTTTGATGGAGCTGCTGTTTTTCTCCCTGTATACTCCTGTTAAAAGGTTGCAACACTAGCAGGAATCTCTTGCAGCCTGGAAAGACTCGGAGTTTTATTTGGGTGGGTAAGAGCCTTAAATTAGGGGAAATTATTTGTTTTCAAATTTTTATTCCCGCTATTCCCCAGTGCTGCTCTTAATGCAAGACATTGTTTAGAAGCCGCACATGAACACAAATAGGGGAGAGTGCATAGCTCCATCTTGCCATCCACATCAAACACACATTTCTTCTCCTGGCTTTTAAAGCTGTTGTCTCCTCAGCTCCAACCTGCCTCTACACATCAAAAAATTTCTTTCTTGAGTTCTGCAACTCTGACTTTCCCTTCAGTCGACCAATATCTTTAGCAAAAGTCATGAAGCGACTTTCAAGGCATGCATACTCAGAGCGTAAGAATCTTCATCAGCCAAGTACTGCAGTCAATCTCTATTTTTTTCTCTGACATCAGTATTCTCACCTGTCCTTGCCAGGTAATGCTTAAACAAATTCTGCAAAACTCAGAACACAGAATTTGCAGGATTGGTCTCTCTGACTATAAACTGTTGTAGAGTGGAAAACTACACCAGGTTCTGTTCTCCGTCAAAAAGAGAAGATGACTGTTAATCCACTGATATAGTTCAATTATTCTAGACCTTTTCAAATGTTACTGCAATCAAGTTATAGTATGTTGGTTTAGCTGCTCACATACATAGTCCTATCTACGTACATAGGCGTGGACCAATAAATATTGTGTTTGCAAATATGTACAGATTTTGTAGTCAGGCACAGTTATGTGGATGTAGAGTGCTGAAACCCAAAGTTTCAGGTTTTCTTTTTGGTCTGTCTATTTTAGTGGATTTTTAAGGACAAGAGTTATTTACTGAAGCCCATTACATGTCAGCTTTGCAATCTGTGACAGTCACCTCCAAGCACTGCCCACAGTGCAGAAGCAGTGGGCTGAGACAAGTGGGTTTCCATCCAATTCAGTACTGATATACGTGCAAGCCATTAAGAGCAGCAGGGCTAACCCAGGCAAAGACGAGTAAGGCTAGAAGCAAGTGTAGAGCTATCTACCTCTTCCTGTGCTGATGGAAGCAGTGAGAGTAGCTCTTTCCCCAGCAGCAATATTCTCTTTTCTCAGTAAGATTCAGAATGAGAAGTCTCAGGATTACAGTCTGCTGTTTTCTCCTTCAGATCTTTGTTAAAGAGGGAACTCTGATGAAAGTCTCTGGCAAACACAGACACCCTCGGCACTTGTTCTTGGTAAGATTGCTTTTATATTTTTACTATCTCGTGTTTCCTCCTGCACTTCTGTGCAGCCCTGAACCCAGGTGCAAAACTTTCATGCTGCAAGTTATTTAACCACCAGCAGAGATGTGCTGAGTCAGTTTTTGTTGCTAACAGGACTTTAGGAGAAGTGGCCATGCCAGAATCTCCAGGAGCTAGTTTTAAGAAATAGTGATCTTGGCCATAGTAACTCTGAAGCCTACGGATGAGCACTTCCTAACACATGATACTGGCTTCCTTGCTGATCTCTCTTCTCAAACACTCGCCTCTGCTAGTATTACAAAAACATCCTGGAGCTATGGCTAAAGCTGGGACCAAATTACAAGAAGTTGTTACCATTTTGTCTCCTGGTGTAACTGCCATAATAATCCACTACCTATGGCAAATACCGAAATGTCAGAAACTTAGTTATTATAACTGATACAGAGAATTTAAAAGGAAGATCAGAAATCTGGTTGGTAAAAAACATTGAGATTAAATTAATTTAAACTTGGGATAAACTGGGATAAATTTCAAGTAGTCCAAAATGGTTCTATCAGCTTAAAGGTCACAAAAGGCTGAAAGTAATACAGGAACAAAGACAGCACAGAAATGAGTTTCTGGCACTTTCTAGATTAGAAACTGTTTTGGTTGCTGGGGAGAGATCAGCTGCTTAAACCCAGATGTTAACTGCAAAGAGGGAAGTATCTCTTGGCAGCTGGAGACATTACAGTAGCCAGTGCCCTGTTGTTAATAGATGCTCTCAGTATTCAGAAACAGCATTTCCTTTCTTTCTTTCTTTCAGTCAGAAAGGCAAACTGTGACAAAATGTACTGTCATGCAAAATAAGTGGTGGAGCTAGACTAAACCCTAGTAGCCACTTTCAAGAACAAGAGGCACATAAAACTGGCTTCTTTCCTGCTTTAACACACAAAAGTTGCAACCACTTCAGGCTTCCTGCATTATGTGTCCTGGTGCGGCGGGGGTGATGTGATCTTGCAAACTTATTGGCAAATACCTGCCCTTGGGTTCAGTGATTTTTTTACTCAGTCTCCTCTCCCCTGAAGCTCCTCAGGGGTATGGCAAAACTGCAGGAAAGCCAGTCACTGTGGAATACGGTAATTCCTGCATTAACACCTCAATGGTTTTGCGTTATCTGCTTGTCACTGCTAATGCTGTGGATTCTCTGTTGTGCCACCACCACTCATGCCACTACCACTCATGCATAGCTTAATGTGGATACATTTAACCTGTGGATACATTAAGACAACTATTGCATAGTTATGGCAACGTATTTCATCTTGACATATAGTATCTTTACTGGATCAGTCTTGAGGCCCTGCCAATCACTGCCAACACCTTTTTGGAACAGCCAAGGCCTGCATGAACACACCCTTCCCTCTGGCCATGCATCCAGCCCAGCCCATGTGCTGTCTTGGTTTTGATGCCTGGGGACACTGTGCGATTAAGAAAACCCCAAACCACAGACCCCAAAGACTAGAATAATCTTCTAAACACCATCTCTTTAAAACCCCATTTACTTAAAGCCCTTTTCTTCAAAGGACCATATGATAATCCTTTGCAGCCACTGGTGGATCCCTGGTGGGAATTTGTCCCAGTGTAGTAATAAAAAAACTCTTTCAGAACTGGCTTTTTTTTAGTTGGAATATGCCACAAAAGTTGGCTGTGTCCCAGACTCCTACTTGGCCTGTGTGTTCAGGGTGTGCTTTGGTGCTGCGCATGCTTGTGCTCTAATGTATGCCCATAAGGAGCACTCTATGCATGTTCAAAGCCTATATAGGCATGAGTGTGTGGGACGCACATTTAGGGGCTTTTGATGTGCATATGTTTCTGTGGGTGTATGTTGTGTGTATCACAGGGTTACTTGAGCTGGCTGTTTTGTGCAGGCTGATGGTATTGTTGAATCTGGTGTTTCCTGGCAGGATGTTTGCTGTGTGCCTGTTTCCTGAGTCCAGTCTCTGTTTACAAGGATGCTGGGGCCTCTTTGCAGCTCAGTATGGGCTGCTGCCACTGGCAGGCTCTGTAACTGCCCCCCAACCACAGGCCTTAGCAACTCAGACACTGTCTCTTATCTCACCCTCACAAGAATTTCTCTACAAAGGCTGCTTGTGTTGCAAGTGGAGTGCAGGAAGCTGCTATCAAATGGGAGACTGTTTAGTGCTCTAACTGACGGGGCTGGAATACAGGAGGCTTTGGAGTCAGAGCTTGGAAAATACAGACCCAGCACACATTCAGGCTGCTCCGCTGACGCTCAGGGGACGTTTTAACACAGACTTGAATAGAACACCACAGGGTTCATAATGAACTACCCTTTAAAACATTCAGAAAAGACAAACAGGTGGTAGAAGCTTTTAGACAGAAAGTGCATTACGTATGGATACCTGCAGTTCAGCCGGGCATAGATAAACTTGTTGGGATCAATAAAGCTGGACACTATAGGTTAGAAAACTTGCACTGCCCTCTATTATTGCTGGGTTTCCATCGCAGCAGAGGGGATTATAGAAAGAAGGGGGGGAGGAAGTAGTATCAGAAACAAAATTAAAGAGCAGATGTATTCTTCTTTCTCTGTGTTTATTAACTGTTGATTTGGGGACTGTGTGTGTGCATGGAGCAGTGCAGAATAGGAATATTTGCTCCCCTATTGATGTCTGGGTATCCCAACTATTCCAAAGTTTTCTGGCAAACAGGAAGTGGGTCTGAAGCCTGAGGACTTACGGGAACTCTCCCAGGGGTTGCAGCAGTTGATCTCTTCTACCACAGATTCCTGAGGGGCTGGGAGACCAACATTTATCATGGCCCAGTCCTCACTGCTTCAGGGAGCAGGGTGCGGCGTGAAGCAGGAGAATGTGTGAAACCACTAGTACTGATGCTAGTTCTGTTCATACCATTCATACAGCCATACTCATGTCTCTGGTGTAGATGTGCCAAAGGAGAGAGCAGCAGCTGCAAACTCCTTCTTTCTTCATGAATATGTGTGTCTTGCTTAGCAAGCTTTTGTATATTTGTCATAATTTCACCATGTCAAGCTGTGGCTGATGAGACCCGAGAGTCGCAGCCCACCACTATATACTGCTGTGAAATTCTGTTGTGGTGTTGCTCCAGCTTCAGACTACAGGTAAAAGAATGTGAGACTCCTATTCTGGCTTGATAGCGTGCTTTTATATCCTCAGTTGAGAAATGTTATATTAAAAGAGATTTAAACTCTGCATAAATTCAGACTTACTAGAAGGACACTGAGAAATACAAAATAGCGTGGTCAATGCAGGAGAGCATGAGAGTCCTTTGGATAAAATGTTAGAATTAAATGATTCAGCGTTTCCTACAAAAGTGCTGGCTGATCCTACCCAGTAAACTTAATTCAGTTTTTAAAAGTAATAAAATTTGGATTAGATATTTTGGGGAAAGTCACTCTTCAGCATATTTTGCCTCACGTTAATGGGAATCTGCATTTTAAGGATGGGCAGCTACTGCACAGAAGCCTGATATGCTGTGAATCACACAACTACTTAATGAACTGGTGTCCAGGAGTGAACTCATGACCCTAATAAAGGCAACAGCATTTTTGTGGTTAAGTCCAAGGTAATAAGGATTTAATCCCATTAGTATTAATTCCATGTCATTTTTCCATAACCATTGTTCCTGCTCTGTAAGAAAGCTGAACTATGACCTTGTAAGCAAACATCCATAAGGCTCCACTTGCCTTTTTGTGGGTTTGGGTTTTTTTCAGGCAAGCAGATTAATGAAAAATTTCCAGCAGCAGTTCTAGGTGCTCAGGCAGCACTATCCACACCCCAACAATTCCAGTCATACCAGATACATTATTTTATTGACAAATCATTCTTTAGTCTTCTCCCTTCTCTGCATTTCTCTGTCACAGTTTTCCTTCCAAAATACAGTATTACCATCCAGCTGGTTGTATTTAAGTGTCTTTGACAAAGAGGAATCCAAGTGAAGCTGGTTTTCATCGACTTCTTAATTTCTTGAGAATTTCTGCATTTAAGATGCCTTGTCTCTGGCATCACAGAGTATTACCTGTGCCGTGGTTTTACCTTGCCTTGCACATCTGACCTATTTGGTGGCCTTCTATGATGGGGCTACAGAACTGATGGACAGGGGCAGAGCAGTTGATGTCATCTACCTGGACTTGTGCAAAGTGTTCGACACTGACCCACACGACCACCTTGTCTCTGAGTTGGAGAGACATCAATTTGATGGATGGACCACTCGGTGGATAAAGAACTGGCTGGATGGCCGCACACAAAGAGTTGTGGTCAACGGCTCAGTGTCCAGTTGGAGACCAGTAATGAGTGGTGTTCCTCAGGGATCGGTGTTGGGACCTGTCCTTTTCAACATTTTTGTTGGTGACATGGACAGTGGGATTGATGTGCCCTCAGCAAGTTTGCCAACGACACCAAGCTGTGCGGCTCGGTTGATATGCTGGAGGGAAGGGATGCCACCCAGAGGGACATGGACACGCTTGTGAGGTGGCCGATGCCAACCCCATGGAGTTTAACCAAGCCAAATGCAAGGTCCTACACCTGGGTCGGCACAACCCCAGGCACAGCGACAGGCTGGGTGGAGAAGAGATTCAGAGCAGCCCTGAGGAGGACTTGGGGGTGCTGGTTGACATGAGCCAGCTTCAGTGTGTGCTTGAGCCCAGAAAGCCAACTGTATCCTGGGCTGCATCAAAAGAAGTGTGACCAGCAGGTCAAAGGAGGTGATCCTGCCCCTTTACCCTGCTCTCGTGAGACCTGACTTGGAGTACTGTGTCCAGTTCTGGTGTCCTCAAGAGAAAAAGGACATGGAGCTGTTGGAGCAAGTCCAGAGGAGGCCCACGAGGATGATAAGAGGGCTGGAGCACCTCCCGTATGAAGACCTGTTCAGCCTGGAGAAGACTGTGTGGAGACCTCATAGCAACCTTCCAATATCTGAAGGGGGCCTATAAGGATGTTGGGGAGGGACTCTTCATTAGGAACTGTAGTGGTAGGACAAGGGGTAATGGGTTTAAACTTAAACAGGGGAACTTTAGGTTAGATCTAAGGAAGAAGTTCTTTACTGTGAGGGTGTGAGGAACAGGCTGCCCAAGGAAGCTGCAAATTCTCCAACCCTGGCAGTGTTCAAGGCCAGGTTAAACGGAGTCCGGGTGACATGGTTTAGTGTGAGGTGTCCTTGCCCATGGCAGGGGGGTTGGAACTAGATGATCTTAAGGTTTTTTCCAACCCAAACCATTCTATGATTCTAGATGATCTTTGCTCATAGTGTCCCAGTACAGTGACCAGGGGGCTGACTGAGTTTATGCATATTGGTACTGATGTGAGAGGCCTGGGAAAGATAACAAGGGAACATGACCTGGCTGTTCAAGGAAAGCAGAGAATGCATACACATGAGCATTACTTTGGCAATGTTAAGGCTCACTGATAGTGCTATTCCTTCTAGTAGTAAGGGGAGGGGAGGCCAGCAAAGACCTACAAGGTCCAGTTCTGCTGCTCCGTAGAACCACACACTGGTTTTGGTTGGAAGGAACCTTAAAGCTCCTCCAGTTGAACCTCCTGCCACGGGCAGGGACACCTTCCACTAGAGCAGGTTGCTCCAAGCCCCGTCCAACCTGGCCTCAATTATTTGTTGGCACGAAGGTGAAAGTCTGCAATAATGTCTGACTAATAAAGTTAGGCAGACAGCAGAGAAGAACTTATCCCATTTAGTATGAAGCTGTTCAAAAAACATGCATTCTGCAAGGAGCTGTGAAAACTATGGAAATATTTGGCATGTAAAGGTACAGATTTTTTTTTCCCCATAAAATGAAAAAAGTTTCTCATTTTTGCCCTTCCATGGTCTCTGCTGCAGCCCACAGACTCAGCAGAGCTGTCAGATATTTAGGCAAGATTTGCCAGCAGTTAAGTACAGTTACTGCTCTCAAATACCCAAACCATTCCTCCTTAAATCGTTCCTCCAGACTACGGCACCTCTCCTCACCTCCACTTCCTTTTTGCCTCACCACCCCTTCACCATTAGGGGGGACCTTGAGAGACCCAGAGCTGCAGCATCCTGGGCAGTTAGTTAGTATTGCCAGGTAGTAAATGCAGAGCCTGCCGTCGCAACTTGGACATGGCAATGCCCTGAAAACAAGGAGCTGTTTCACCCAATATGAATAAAAAAGAGCTGATTATCTACTTGCTTAGCCATTAGCAACAGTCAAAAATGGGAAGAAATCAAGTCCTCAATGCAGACTCCCCAGAGTTTTGTGGAAATGCAGGTCTCGATCTAAGCTGCGTGGCTTGGGCTGTCTCTAGTAATGGTCCTAGCAGTTCGTTAAGTTACTGCTTGTTCTGGGTATCCCCCCCAGGAGTAATGTGCAGGCCTGCAAGCCATATTGCAAATTATTGATTTTGTCTTTCTCTTCATATAGATGAATGATGTCCTGCTGTACACATATCCCCAGAAGGATGGCAAATACCGACTGAAAAACACCTTTGCTGTGTCAGGCATGAAGGTAATGCCTCATCTGTATTACAGGCTGGAATTAAAGTTGTGTAGTGGGCTGTTAATGCTTTGCTGCTTTACGTCTCATACCCAGCAAAAGGAAAGAGAGGATGGACCTGTCATCAGGGGATTCCTTTGCCTCTTACAGGAGATGATAGAAGGAAAACTAATATAAAGCAAACATATGAAAGATTAGCCATAAGGCTGTGACATACTATGACAGCCATATTCAGGCTGCATAAATAAGACAAGCTAAAATCAGATTTACCATCTGATCATGAAACTGGAGACAGAAAAGATTTATTATCCCATTTTGTCCATTCCTATCTTCATGTCTCCAGCCAATGCGTGGCTGTTCCCTACAAGATATTCATTAGGGCTTAGTCTGCCCACTTCTAAACTGCCACTTGAAATTTACATAAGCTTTCATGTGCCCTTCAACTGTTTTCACCAAAAGCATTAATGGGTTCAAAAAATGATTAGCCAACTTTATGGGGAAAAGGTGTAATGGGAGCTATTATATGCAATGACATAAACACAGTCTCTTTCTTCAGCAAATTTCTAAATTGCAGATTACAGAAACTAGAC